TCGGGGGTGGGGGGTGGAGCCGGGAGGAGCCCCCCCTTGTGTCGGGGGTGGGGGGTGGAGCCGGGAGGAGCCCCCCCTTGTGTCGGGGGTGGGGGGTGGAGCCGCCCCCCCTTGTGTCGGGGGCGGGGGGTGTCCCTAAGGCAGGGTGTACTGCATGGGTGTGTGGCCTGTCTCTGCTCAGGCTATAACGTCTCTGGGGCCCATAGAGGCTCTGATCTCTAGGGCAGCTGACTTGGCATCTTCCCTAGCCCTGAGCTCCATGAGAAGACTTGCTCCCCCCTCCCCCCAAACAAACATGGGTTAGTGCTGAAGTCCAGGTCTCTGACCCCACACAGGCTGAGGATGGACTCCTCAACAGGCAGTCAAAACAGACCACCCCCATCCCATTCCCTCGCGCCTGAGCCAGCAGCCTGCCCTGACATCCGCATCTAACCCTCTCCAGTCCCACCAGCAACTGGTCTACACTGAAAAGTTTGACTGCTGTAACGCTGTAGTGGAGACGCTTCCTGCAGCGATGGAAGGGGTTTTGCCATGGATGTCGTTAATCCATCCCTTAGAGCGGTGCCAACGAGGTTGAGGGAAGAATTTTCCATCAGCCTAGCCCTTAGAGATATGACTAAATGGATATAATTTTAAGTGTAGACCAGGCCTTATTGGTCTGTGAGGGGTGTGATGATTTAACAGCATCCGCCCTGCCTAGTGCATAACTGCCTCCATCAGTCAAAAGTGCCTGATTTTGGTAAAACTGATTTTCCTTCCTGAACCAGAGTAAGCCATACAGTTTAAGCTCTCTATCCTGATCTATTTCAGAGCGGTAGCTGTGTTCGTCTTTATCCGCAAAAAGAACAGGAGTCCTTGTGGCACCTTAGAGACTAACAAATTTATTTGAGCATAAGCTTTTGTGGGCTAAAGCCCACTTCGTCAGATGCATGCAGTGGAAAATCCTGCTGATAATAGCCCACTTTAATCGATTAGTCTCATTGGAGTTGGTATGGCAACCCCCATTTTTTTCATGTTCTGTGTGTGTGTGTATACATATACACACACACACCCCTTCCTACTGTATTTTCCACTGCATGCATCTGATGAAGTGGGCTGTAGCCCACAAAAGCTTACGCTCAAATAAATTTGTTAGTTTCTCAGGTGCCACAAGGACTCCAGGGGGGTTAGCTGCTTCAGTCCTACTGGAATAGGTCAAGTGACAAAACTTTCTAGTGGAGTACCAAACTGCCTCCCAAGAAGCAGCCCGTCTGCATTGCAGCCCAAACCAGCCGGGTTCACGAGCCGCCCGGCTGTGAGGCAGAGGTTTTTCTCTTGAGTAAGCCGAAAACAAGGTACCCCACTGTAAGTATAAAAGCTGCAGTCTTGGTCATTTTAGCTGAATGCTTCTAAGTGCCTTTATAATGCAGGCCCCGGAAGGGCATGTCTATACGGAAACGGAGCGGCTGCGCTGTTGTAGTGTTTCAGATATGCTACCTGTGCCATTGGTCTAGGTCGTCAATCTCTGAGAGGCAGTAGCTAGGTCAATGGAAGAATTCGCCCATCAACTGAGTGCTGTCTGCACCGGGGCTGAGGTCGCTATAGCGACACGTCTCGGGGGTGTGGATTTTTCACACCCCCGGGAGACGCAGCTATACCAATGTAAAATCCTAGTGTAGGCCGGGCCTAAAAGTTATTCATTGGTGATTGTATCTGTGAGACAAGGAAGTGAGACTTCAGTAGCTCTTTCCTAACCTCTTGCGGTAATAGGCATCTTCCGCTGATGTCAGCCAGTGTCAGCGTGCTGGCGCTGCAAGGCTTGGTTAGGAGCTTCAGTAATCGACTGTGTTCTGCGGGAGGGTGTTACAGAAATGCACATTATTTCAGCGCCTATTTAGCAGCATCCTCTTGGTTCTCTGGGATACTCTTCTAATCTGGTTAGCCAGAGGTCACACCCCTCTAACCGACATGCATCTTCTAGGGCTGCCGGAGGCTTTTCTTGGAAATCTCCCGTCAGCGGTAGCAATACTGAGTGCGCTGGTGTGAAAGAAACTGGCCTGGTTTAGCAGTGGCCGTAGCGTGGATGACCGCATGGACTTTCCGCCATCGTCTGTATTGGGGTAGTGCCTGAGAGCCCCGGTCGTGGGCCAGGGTCCGAGGGTGCTGGATGCTGAGCAGATCAGAAGATCACACACTAACCAGGAGAGGGGGTCTCTCAAATTGAGGCCTGGGGGTCCTGATGAGGTCCCAGAGTCTGGGCAGCTCAGGTCTGGAACAAGGGGAGTGGCCCAATGATTGCCATGAACTTGATAACCGAGGGCTGGATCCACGTTGAGATGCTCAGTGTCGCGGCGCCAATCACAGGAATAACATGGCGATCCACAAAGCCTGAGTTAGGTGCCTAGGCTCTCTATGTAACGACTGGGGCGAGGGAGGGGAACGGCCTAAGCTAGCCAGTGGGAGGTGCCCAGGAGAGGGGTGTAGGCTGAGCCCTGTCTCTCTCTCTCAGGGACAGGTGCCCAAGTCTGAGCTGTGTAGTAGGAAGAGAGTCTGAGACATAAACTCTTGTATTAGAGGCCTGGTATGAGGCAGGACCTGCTTATAGGCTCCCTTCCTACTACAGGGAGGCACCAGGCCCTGCTCGCAATCCCCAGCCAGTGACCCTCTCCTGGAGTTGGACGGCATAGGCACCTCAACCATGGGGAGAATGAGTTAAGCCCCTGCCTCATGCCACACAATGGAGTGGTGAGTGGAGATGGTTGTGTCCACTTTAGGCCCAGTGGTTGGAGCACTCGCCTGGCATGTGGGAGACAGTGCCTGAGGGGGCAATGATTTGAACAGGGGTCTTCCCCCATCTGAGTGCTCTGACCACTGAGCTAGGGGGTATTCTGATGTGGGGCTCTCTCAATCTCTCCTGCTGTTCATTATGGGCGAGCGATTCCGTAGGCCGGGGCTAGGGTACCCACTCCTGCTCCAATCAGCTTCAGTAGGTGAAGGGAGCCCCACATCAGACAATCCCATCACTCGGTGCTCTCCTGAGAGATGGGAGACCTGTGTTCAAATCTTGTCCTCTCCTTTGGTAGAGAGGAATTGAACTGGGGTCCCCCACATCCCTGGTGAGTGCACTAACCACTGGGCTAAAAGTGTTGATGTGGTCTATGGTAACATAAATGGTAACAAATCTGTCACGCTGCCTCCTCCAGCCAGATTTTGAATGGGGGCCCTGTCCTGTAGGTAGCCTCTGAACAGGATTCCTGGACTGGGCCCTGCAGAGAAGATAGGCAGGCAAATATCTCTCTTCCTCCAGTCGATGGATCTTTCTGGGGCTCAAAGGCAGAAACGTACTCACTAGGCCATGTCTACTGCAAAGACTTGAGTGCTGGGGAGTTTAGGTGCCTACAGGGTTAGGTGGCCACCAAGTGTGGTTTTGCAGATTGCAGTGGTGCAGAAATCTGGGGCATAGGCACCTATACCCCAGACTTGGGTGTCTTTGTGGATCAGGGCTCAAGTATTTTTGCCTTGGGTCCTGCAGAGGTTTTGAGTCTTCAGAAGCTTTTATGGCCCATAATGCCTCACCAGACTCGGTGCTTTAACAAAGTGGCAATATTACTGATTCTGGTCTTGCTCTAAGCTTTTTCTGCCGATCGCTGGGTTTGACTGACTCATCAAGGCAGCGAGGCCGCTGTCCTCCCTGAGCAGCATGTAGGAACAGGCAGGGTTGGGTGAAACGAATGCAGACAGAAAGCAAGAGACCGCACGGCGAGAAGGGGGTAGGAAAATGGACAGACAAGTAGTGGGAGGGCAGCCGTGAATCAAGGTCTGCCAGCAGAAACTGTTGGAACCCTTGTGCTGAGCGATCTAGCGTGCAGATCTGTGAGCTGCCTTCTCTGGATCTGCCTGGTTAAAGTACACCGGGGGCCCAATTCTCTGGTGCCCTGCAGTCACACCAGTACACAGTGCTACCAGTCTGACCCTGTTGCACTTCACACCAAAGCTGAATGGGTGTCAATGACATGAGTCTGGGCAATGGGGAATCAGGCCCCAGGTATCTATGGAAGCAGAAGGCATCTGGGCGACCATGGCTTGAATGGAAAGCCTGGCCATGCTGCCAAAGCCTAGTGAAAAGGACAGTTGGTTTAAAGCACTGAACACTAGTTCCACTTCTACACGGCGAGAGCCCTGGGAACTAGGACCACAGCAGGGCTGGCTGTGAGCGCAGCTCAGGCTTTACGTCCCATCGGGTCAAGAAGTGAGAGCCAGATTAGCGCTGCCCCTACCCTTAGGGCGAGCGGTCGGGTATCCACTGGCGCCTGCGCGTCCAAAGCGAACCACGTAGGAACAGCAAGCTGAAAGGGAGCAGTGCGTGTGGGGATGACTGCGTTGGAATAAGACCTCGCGTCCCACAATCCTGGCCTGTAGCAGAGCTTGTCTTCAAGCCAGTGTTGTGCGCCCACCCACAGACATGAGGCATTCGTCATGTCCATTCGCTTGGCCTAAATGTAGGTAATAGCGGTAGCTTGTCTGCTCCATGGGCCTGCCTGCTATGAAATGAGACAGGAAGGGAGGTCAGAAACCAAACTGGGCTAGGGAGAGGGCCCAGCCCTTGTCGGCTGGGGAATGAGGAGGTGGAATGCTGTAGGCAGAGAGGGAAACGCTCACTGACAGGAAGCGGACTCATCGCTGATGGAACCTCACTGCGGTCAGTTACAGCAGGGGAAATCTGGCCTGCTGTTTCCTTTATCCCGGGCGACAGCTGTGCGGGATTCCTCCTGCAGAGGAGACCAGCGCATCTGTCTTGAGCAGCTGAAGGGCAGGCAGATCCGCATGTCGCTGTGCTAAAGAATGAGTGCAGGAGAGAAATCCCAGTGCTCCTGCATGACCACTCCCCAGCCATCTGTATCGTCCGTGGTGCCAGACAATCGCCCAGTGAGAGGGCGTCTCATGCTCTTCTTTGCCAGGTGCCCCCTCCCCTGCCCACATGAAGACCTCTTCCGTGAGAGCAATGCCAGCAGCAATGTTCACCTGCAATGTTCTCTTGTTTTCCTGGCAACCCAGTGGTCACCAGCTGCATTAGTTTGTGCAGAAATCAGTAGGGTTTCATTGGCTTAAAAACCCATCTGGTCTCTGCAAGAGCGAATGTTACTGCAGAATCTCTGAAACACTAGAAGTTTGGAGATGCAAGTGCCACCCGAACTCTGTTCTCTTTGCACCAACTCTCTAGAGGGGTGACTTCAAATACTGTCACGCTGCCAGATAGCTGTCCCTAGTGGCTGAGATTTGCTGTGCTGGGAGAGGAGGTGCAGTAAACTGGTACAGATCTTAGAGCTGCACGGTTCACGTCGTCACCTAGGAGCTATCTAGTCACTAAAATACGGCCTGTTGTTTTCAGGGGTGGGCATGGGGATGTTAAAAGCGGGCAGTGAACAGCCTGCTGGCAAGGAGATGCCTACCTAATCTCTAGGGGCTATTGAGCATCTGTAGAGAGTGCGTGGGACTTTGCATGTGGGACTTTCAGACATCTCAGAAGATCAGCCCGGCCAGGATTCAAACCTGTGGTTCTAGGCAACCTAATTGTTCACAACCCAGAACACAGAGAAGGAGGGTAAAATCCTGGTGCTGTTTAAGTCAAGGGGGTCTTGCCGCCAACTTCACTGGGGCCAGACTATCACCTGGTATTTCTGGTGCTCGTCGCTGTAATATCTTAGGGTATATCTGGTCTGGAGTAAGAGCCATGGCACAGCTGTGGCTGACTCAGGCTTGCAGGGGCTATAAAGTTGCAGGGTAGATGTTTGGGCTCAGGCTGGAGCCTGGTCTCGGAGACCCCATGAGGGGTGATGTGATGGAGGATAAGTTGCAAGAGAAGCAGCCTGTGTTAATGTCTATATTCTCGTATTGCTGACCTGGTCGTATTAACGTGCACAAGCTAAACAGCTGTTTCGTTCAGCTCAGAAGCTGTTGCCGTATTGACTCACAGCCCCCTGTATTGCTCTGTCTTGTTGCCATTTGGCTGACCTGGAAGGTGCAAATGCACAAAGGTGCCTCTTTAACTGGATTTGGTAAGCCAGCGCGAGCCCCTCTGGAGGTGCTCTTAACTCAGTTCGATTGGCCTGTTCTGATGTGGCTCAAGTCTTTAAGGAATCAAACACTGGAAAGCCAACATAAGCCCTTCAAATTGTGGTGTTTTGTTTTTGTGTTGGTTTTTTTTGCATGCCTGCAGCGGGGCTTGCGCTAATTTAAGAAACCAGTTTAGTTTAAATGGATGCTCGTTTGTGTATAAACGAGGCCAGAAGATGGCAAGAGCTAGCCAATTCCTCCCCCAGTTGGAACCCATTTTATGAGCTCAAATGGTGAGTGGATCTTTCTGGGACGTATCGGTCTAGGAGATGGAAAAGGAGCATCTACCACACTCTTAAAGGAAGTAAAGGTTAGCACGGATGTATTTTTCACATTCAAGTTGTCGAATGTGCTTCTGGCTCTGAAGTGTGGGGAATAATGAGCCACTCAGTCACAAGCCAACTGATTAAAAGATGGCAAACTTAAAACCAATACACCACATGCATGTAGTGAGACAGTGGAAGTTGAGGCCACAAAGGGAGCAAGTTTTAAAAGGGGTTGGATCCTTCTGTGGGTAACAAGAATCTCCAGAGTTATAATTAATGCTAACAATCTAGAAGGGATATTAACCCTCATGCGTCAGGCTCTAATAAAGATCAGACTGAGACCTAGATGGCAGGAAATAGATTATCCCGCATTTACCTACTGTGGGTTTCTTGCACTTTCCTCTGAAACGTGCTGGCTGCTGTCAGAGAGGAAACTGGACGAGATGGACAGTGAGTCCCAATCCAGTCTGGCAGTCGCTCGGTTCCTGGAGTAGAGCTCGTAGATTACAGAAGTGCAGAGACGCCCCCACCCCCAAAGATGCAAAACTGGAGCGGGTGTCCATTCTTCCAACATCTGATCTCTTGAAATGGGTGATTAAGAAGCCAACTAATTGCAGGCGTGCGTGGGTGGGGATGTGAGCTTGGATCTTGGCATGAAAGGAATGGGGGAGGGCCCGCTAGCTGGGGTGGGAGCGAAGGGCTGGAATAAACAATGGTTAATGGAAGGGGAAACCGGCAGGGGTTGGACGAGGAGCTGAAAATAAAAACCGGAAAAGAGTAAGTCACAAAACAAGGCCCCAGCACATGCTTACCTTTCCCGGCTTGAGGAGTCCTGTTGCAATCAGTGGGGCTACTCAGGAGAGTAAAGCTGGGTGGCATGCAAAGGGCACTGTCACTTAAATGCTGGGCAAGAGGCAGGCCAGGTTTAGCAGGTAAGTTTTAAGGCCAGACCAGGAAGGGGACAGTATTGTTTACAAAACCAAGCACTTTACAAAGGTAAGTATCATTAGCCCCATTTTACAGATGGGGAAGCTGAGGCGGAGGGTGTCACTCAGCTGGGAACAGAACCCAGGTCTCCCCAGTCCAGTGTGCGGTCCACTTGCCTGCCCTCCCTCCAAGTAACATAAGCGCTCCCCCTTTGCAGCCTGTCTGTTTAGACTGTCAGTTCTTTGGGGGCTGGGATCTTAGCAAAGCCCCCTCCTGTGCTATGCAGGAGATGAGGTGCCTCTCCCAGGATGCGGAGGTGATGTAGGGACCAGTGTGTTGGGCGGCACAGGGGAAAGGGCCCCTCGCATCCCAGGCTGACCGTCTCCTCTTGTTTTCCAGCTGGTTGGGTTGCTGCTGATCGGCGTGGCTGCCTGGGGGAAAAGCTTTGGCATTGTCTCCAGCATCCACATCATCGGCGGAGTCATCGCCGTGGGCGTCTTCCTGCTGCTCATTGCCATCGTGGGACTCATCGGGGCTATCCACCACCACCAAGTCATGCTCTTCTTCGTATCCTTCTCTGCCGCCTGGGAGGCCAGGGCCATGCCACGCTCCTCACGACTCTGCCCTGTGCCGCTAATAATCTCCCGGTTCTCTGTGGCACAAGACGTGGTCCAGAGCCTCAGCGGCTGGGTGGAGCAAGAACAGGCCTTGAGCATCCTCCGGGCTCAGCTACATCTGCTGACAAAACTCCCGCTGTTGCTATCGCTGTGTGGCTCCATGGCGGGGGACCCCACTGTTGTCAGGCCCTTCTCTGAGCAGGGTTACGGGTGGTTCAAACTCTCTAGCCGATCTGGGGGTAGTAACAATGGGGAACCCAGCCCGAGAGGCTGAAAGCTGGAGGTTTAAGCCTTAGGACCCTTACAGCAAAGCGGCAGCCTCTGCCGGGAATGCCAGATGCTCCCTTCAGGCAGTGGGCCTGGCTTTAGGGGGAGGAGCTCTGGCCCCTGCTGTGCCGCAGCTCAGACTAGATGATCACTGTCCCGGAGTCCCCCGGCGATGCTCTGGAACTGCTCCCCACAAAGCCCGTCAGGACTCTAGGGAGCCTCTGCTCTCAGAGCAGACTGTCTCCAGGGCAAGACGCTTCCACAGCTTCACCTTCCTGGGTCTGACCTTGGAGCATTCAGCATCCTCTGCCCCTCTGTGCGCTTCCCACAGTGAGTCTGCCCAGGTGGGGTCCTGGGGAAGCCACAGGGTCCTGCACCCCCACTTTGCAGTCAGACGTGACTCTTAGCCAGCCAGTAAAACAGAGGTTTATTAGATGACAGGAACACGGCCTAAAACAGAGCTTGTAGGTACAGAGAACAGGACCCCTCAGCCGGGTCCATTTTGGGGGGCAATGAGCCAGACAACCCCGGCTGCACTCACTCCCCGTCCCCAGCCAACCCCAAACTGAAACTCTCCAGCCCCTCCTCTCTGGCCTTTGTCTCTTTCCCGGGCCAGGAGGTCACCTGATCTTTATTCTCGACCACCTTTAGCTATCACCTTGCGGGGGGAAGGGCCCCAGCCGTTAGTTGCCAGGAGACAGTGTCGGCCATTTATGCACACTGGCCTTTATCCCACTACCCAGAGACTTAAGAAATGCATAGGGGAAACTGAGGCACCCACACACTATTCAGAGGAAACATTAAGAACACTCCCACTTTGTCACAATCGCCATGGTCTGTTCTGGCTCTGACATCTATGAAGAGGGGGCATGGCCTTCCTTTAGAATTCCCTTGTGCCCCTACCTGGGCTGGGGGCATGTGGTGTTGCAACAACTACATGAACAATGTGACTGTTCTCTCCAAAGTTGGGGAGGAGGCTTAGTGGGAGAAGTAGCTAAGAGCAAGTGGGTAAAACAGGTGCGGTGTCTAGACTAGAGGAGGAAGTGAATGGGCTGTGGGAATCTGAGCGAGACTGGCTGTGGGTAAACTCAGGCAGGGGCTGTTTGAACTCTCACTAGGTAAAGCACTTGAGACCGCGTGGCAGGGACAGCCCTGCAGACTGCCAAGGGAGAAGCATTGGGGGGAGGTGGCTCCCTGCTCTCCTACTCAGGGGCATGGGGCGGCCTGTGGGCGCTCACAGGGGCAGCAGCACTGGGGTGTCTGTCTTGCTGTGCCCCGTAAGAAAAAGGAGGCTGGCATCTTGGAGCGAGCCACTCCTCCGGCCTGCATCTCTACAGGCCGGTCAGCCAGAGGGGCCCCGTTGGGCCCTGCCCACTGCCAGCCACTGAGGGCAAAGAGCTTGGGGCGGGGAGGAATGGTGGCTGAGAGAGAGGATCCCGTTCAATGCCCGCAACAGCGGGATTTCCATGGACTTGTTCTAACCCCTCCCGCTCAAATGTACAGGGGGGAAAGCGGTGTCTGGTGGAAGCTGGGGAGTTACAGTTCTACCCCCTCTTCCAGCTGCTCCTTATTATCTATAAATAAGCCCTGTCGCACCTCCCTCTCCGGCAGCCAGCCTGACGTGCCGCTCCTGTTCCACGCCCCGCGCGCGTGGGTGGGGTTTTCAGCTCCATTTGGCTGTCATATGTAGCTGCCGCACGTTGAATAGGCTCTTCCTTGGCGGCGCCTGTCACATCACTGGGGCACTTCAGCATTGCTAGGGGCTGCTGCAGGCTCTGCGCCAGGCCGGCGCTTGCCAGAAGGGACCTGGGGACCCATCTTGGCCCGGACTGGGGCAGAACCTGTATCTACCTAGATGAGGCACGAACAAGGCCAGGCATGGCTGATTGCTACCTATAAATGGGCTGATGTTTCAGTGAAGGGGAAGTGATGCGAAGAGGAAACCACAGTTCCACTTGAAATCTTAACTTTTGAGAAACCGATCGAATATTCAGCTGAGCTGGCTGGTGGTTGTAGCAGTTTTGGAGACCTCAGCAAGGGCGACAGGAACTCTGCCAGCCTCTGTTAAGGCTAAACTCTTGTTAAACAAGGTTGGGTGGCAAATGCTCCCCAGGCACCCGAGGGCAAAGGCTAGGTCTCGGTGGGGGTCATTCCAGTCTTGGGGTGGTCAATACCCTGGACTTTAGGGGCACCACAGCAGGGGGAAGGTAGGAAAAGCTGAAGTAGGAGGTCATGAACTCTCCAACTGGCCAGCAGGGCAAGGCTGAGTTCTGCACAGACGAGGGAAGCAGTCGTTCCAGTCACGTAGGCCAGGTTCTGCGCAAGCTGCTCTCGGCAGTAGACTGAGGCTGGCTAGGCAGGGGCATTTCTTGTGGCCCTATTGTAGGTGCAGTTATACTGGTGTAAAGGGGTTTTGTTGGACTAGCTTATTTCCCTCGCCCAATGGGTGTAAGCGGTGGGTCCCCTAAGAGTGTTTGCTAGTATGGCTAGACCGCGAACCTCTGAAGGGGAGACTAGGCTGGCGGGTGGAAGCCCTGGGGGGCTCTTTGTCCTCTTTGCACCCTGCCTAGCACAGCCAGAGATCAGCTTCAGGGGGGCCAGGCTGCAGCATAGGCCTTGGCGCTCCGAGCCAGCTAACCCCAAATGGCGCAGTGCCCTGCAGCGGGGGTCCCGCTGCCATCTACTCCAGTTTGGAGGGGACCCTGGGGCTTGGGGGGGGGGGGGGGAAATATCAGGCTGCTGGAGGAGAGGGAAAAAGGAGGGTCGGGGGAGAATCTTTTCCCTGCCATACACATACGTTAATGGTGGCTCTCCCGGCCCCAGGCCCTGCCCGGGAAAGCCGTGTGGACAAACTCCCTGCAGCACCAGCAAGCCGAGGCTGCTGGTTTTGTGTCTGTGGCCTTCTCTGACTCAGCCGTATACTGAGCTCTACGTTAACATGTGCTCGGGGGGGGGCGGGTGTTTGCCTGTGGAGGAGAATCTGTGTTTAAAGGGCTCTAATTAGCCTGTGATGGTCACCCCTCGGCAGGGGCGGCGCCAGGGTTTTTGGCGCCCTAGGCGGGGGTCCTTCCACGCTCCCGGTCTTCGGGGCACTTCGGCGGCGGGTCCCGGAGTGAGTGAAGGACCTGCCGCAGAATTGCCGCCAAAAGACCCGGAGTGCGGAAGGACCCCCCCGCCACTGAATTGCTGCCCCCCCCCCCAATCCTGGTGCCCTAGGCAATCGCCTAGGTGGCCTAAATGGAAGCGCCGCCCCTGCCCCTCGCGAAGGGTAAGCTGCCAGCTCAGCTGCTCTGGGTGGGCTAGAGGAAGATGGGGCCCTTTTCTCCTCACAAGGCACCTGGGACGGTGGGGTCCTTCCTGGAGCAAAAGTCTCTTTCCATGCAACGACCCGCCCTGTCCCCTGAACAAGGTATTAGAGCAGGACCCTGCCAGTGGGTTCCACTCCAGCTCTGCCCTGGCCTTGTCTAAGAGCAGAGCGAGGTTTTCTTACTCCACAAGTCACTTCACCTTCCTCTGGCACGGCCTCCCACCTCAGGGCCTGTCTGCAGGGGCGACCCGCCCGACGGACCTGCTCTGGAATAACCCACCCGGTGGACCCAATTCCGGCGCGGAATAGCATCAACAGAGGGGAGTTGCTCCAGCTGCGCTGCACTGCTGGGCGGGTTCCTGCGGAGACACAGCCGAGCGCCGTCTCTTTGTAAAGCTGCAGTTTCCTTTCCCCAGTGCTCCCCTCTATACGTTGAAACAGCCCTAAACTGACCCCATGACTGTCTAGCTAACCCCCCTCCTGCTCCCCCCTCCAGTCTGAAGTTCAGAAGGTCGCCGTGGGGCGCACCCAGCATGCTTGGGGAGTTGGCTTGTGGTGCTAGCAGAAGCAAGGGTCACACAAATAGGTGTCCTCTCCATGGGAGTTTCTGGCTCCCCTGAAATAACAGTGGGCTATGGCGAGAGGGCGCTAGAGCAGGGCACAGGTTTGGTCTTCTGCGTGGCTTTTGGCAGCTGGCAAAGGAAGCTGTCTGGGCCGGTGCTGGGTTGCTGTCACTGTCCTGTTCCACCCAGGAGGCTGGGTAAGGGGGCAGGAGGCTGGGAGGAGATGGCAGTGTTCCCCTGTCGTGTTTCCTTAACACCGACTCTTCCTCAGTACATGGTCATTTTGGGGCTCGTCTTTCTCTTCCAGTTGGGAGTCTCCTGTTCGTGTCTGGCCCTTAACACAAGCAGAGAGGTGAGTCCGCCTCCCTCCCCAACCCTTGGCCACAGCGGCTTCAGCGAGATGCGCCGGAGAATCCGTACATCCATCTTCATGGGGAAATGGGAAGGGGCCCTAGCAGCTGCTCTTGTGGCTTCCAACCAACGGGTTCAATTGTGTTGGGTGAAACCCTCTTCCCACTAAACTCAGGGTCTGGTAGATGTCTCACCAGCCCATCAGTGCAGTGAGGTTGATCCTCGATCTGGTTTGGCTAGTTCCAGGGCCCAGGTGTCCGTCCTCCCCCCTGGAATCAGGGCCTGCAGGCTAGCCAGACCCACATGAGATGCCAGGCTCTGCCCCGAAGAGCGTAGGCCAAGGGCTTGTTACTGCAGAGTTGACACAGGGGCACCACTTGGCTTGTATCTCGCCTTGACTCCCATCCGCACACCCCAATCCCTAATGCAGGCACGGTGGTGCTTTAACTCAAGTTGCCTGGCCTGTCATGGAGAGGTTATAGGTTGCCTAAGTGCACTGTCACCTACTCGCCCCAGCACGTGTAGTGCAGGCGGTGGCTAGCTCCACTCAAGGGCGACTAGTCCTCTAACACCTTCCCACAGTGCCGCTCTGGGGGCTGGCAGACAGCCATGTTTGTCCACAATCCACTGCTTGCTGCAGTGCTCGGCTCAGGCTGCGCCCCCAGGGGTCTTAGCGCCAGGCCCCAGTGTGGCGGTGCAGAGCAGGCTGTCCGGGGGGCCGGTCTCACGCGGGAGGAGAACTCGGTTTGCCTGGGAAGAGAAGACAGACGGGAAAGGGGACGGGGAGAGGCGACCATGCACGAGACTCTCTACATGTGGCGAGGAGGGGGGTTCTTGAGGGTGCTAGTTTAACCGTGTTCCTCGGGGAGTTGCTGGGAGTCTTACCCCGGAGCAGAGGTGGGTCAGCGCTGAGTTCTCGGGAACACCTGCCCACTTTCTCTCTGCATTTTAAAACCATCCCATGCCTTGCCCCTCGTCCCACTCCTCCGTTCCTGCTGAGCTGGGTTGATCGTGGTAGCGGCTTCACGAAACACCCATTTCACGCTGGTCTCAAAGCTTGTCTCCTGCAAAACGCCACCCCCACCTCCTCTTCCAGAGGGCGCCCTCAGCCCCCCGCCGCTGTGCCTCAGGACAGCAAGCGCAGAAACAGCCCAAAGCCAGCTGTCAGTGCTGGGACGGGGGGGAGCTGGAAGGGCCTGTTATGTTATTTTAGGTGGATTATACGTGCTATAGGCGTTACCATAACCCACTCGCTGTCCAACATTAACCAGTGTTAAGGAAGGTCCAGGGCTGGCTAGTCCTGCTTCGTACCATGGCAAACGCACCATTAAAAATCTTCTTAACCTTCATTAACAATGAGAAGGCAGAACAGGTCCAGCCTTTGAACAATCAAGTATTCACTCCAGCTCTCATGCTGGCCCCAGCCCTTGGTCCCTTTCCCTTGAGCTGGTGAGAGGTTTTAGAAGGAAAAACCCGTTTGGGTGCCAGGCTCTTAGATCAGTGTGTCTCCACGACTGGTCCAGGGCCTGGCGCTGGTCCCTGAGCTCTCCCTGGCAGTTTAGGAAGGCAGCAAGCCGGTTCCCGCTATTAAAAAAGGCAAGGAACGCTGTCTGGACTAGGGTATCAGTGCTGGAAAGAACTGTCCTGCAGGGAAGAGAGGAGTTCGCTGAGCTGTCTGGAATTGCTGCAGCTGCTAAAGTCCAAGCCCGTTTCATCCCAGCTGGTATTGGGGCTGGAGCTGGTGAAGGCGGCGATGTTGTCTGGATCCCCTGGGCCTGGCCGGGGCATCTCTCAGGATCAGGCTGGAGGGCTGAGATTCCAGGAGCTAGTGGGGTGGTAGCTGTGATGGTGACGCTTGCTCCAGTAGCTGATTTTTTCTCCCCAGTCTCTTTCTTTACAGACCCCCCCCCCCCCCCCGGGGGGGGGGGGGGGG